AAATCATCTATTTCTTATTGGGTGACTTATAGTAGTTTGTTTTTGAGGAATTAGTCAATTTCATCTAAGTTGTCAAATTTTGGGTACAGAGTTGTTCTTACTTTAGTCTTTTTCTAAATCCTTTTAATGTCTTTGAGGTCTGTAGTGATATTTCCCTATTTCATTGCTAATATTGGTAATGTGTGTCTTCTTTCTTTATTTGGTCAGGCTTGATATAAGTTTATCAATTTTTTAATCTGTTCAAAGTACCAGAATTTTGTTTTTTATTTTCTGTTTTCAATTTCTTCTCCTAATTATGATCTCACTTCCAATTTGCTTTTTAAAATCTACTTCTAGTTTGGGGTAGTTGCTGAGATAGTTGATTTGATACTTTTTCTAATGAAAGCATTTAGTGTTATAGTTTTCCCTATCAGCCTCACTAACTTTATACACTGCATTTTCATTTTCATTCAGTATATTAACTTCCCTTGAATTACTTATAAGTGTGTTCTTCAGTTTCCAAGTGTCTCAAGAATTTCTTGCTATCTTTCTGCTATTCTAGTTTCATCTCATTATAGTTAGAGAATACATTCTATTATTATTTCAGCTCTTTTAAAGTTGTTCAGGTTTGATTTTTGAAACAGGATATGGTCTATGTTATGAATGTCCCATATACACAGAAAAAGAAGATACATTCTACTGTTAATAGAAGAAATGTTTAATAAATGTCACATGAAACCTGTTGATTGATGGCATTTTTCAGTACTTTCATATCCTTGTTGATTTTCTGTCTAGTGATTCTATCAATTATTGAGATGGGGTATTAAATTTTTCAACTACAAATGTGGACTTGAGTATTTCTCTTTTCAGTTCTTTAAGTTTTTGCTCTGGGAAATTTGAAACTCTGTTGTTTGGTGCATACACATTTAGGATTGCTATGTAGTGTTGGTGGATTAACCCCTTTACCATTATGTAATGTCCTTTGTCCCTGGTAATTTTCTTTGTCCTGAAATCGATTTTTTCTGATATTAATATAACTACTCTTCCTTTCTTTTGATTAATGTTTATTTGCTATATCCTTTTACTTTCAACCTACCTATACCATTATATTTAAAATGAATTTCTTATTGACAGCATATGATTAGGTCATGTTTTTAAATACATTCTGGGGTTGAGGGTGTAGTTCAGTAGTAGAAAGCTTGCCTAGCACTTGGTAGGCTTGGGGTTTAATTCCCAGCACTGCAGAAAAAAATATCCAAACTGACAAACTGTTTTAAACTATTTATGATTATTGATATTGTAGAGCTTAAAAATTCTGCCATTTAAAAATGTTTTGTTCCTCATTTTTGTTCCTGTTTCCCTTTTCCTGCCTTCCTGTGTTACATAAACATTTTTTTATAATTTCATTTTGATCTATCTGTAGTGTTTTTTAGGGTATCTCTTTGTATGTTATTTTAGTGGTTCCTTTGGATTATACATATGTAACTTATCACAGTCTACATATGTCAACTTTTTACTGCCTCCAGTGAAGTATAAAAAACCAATCTCCACTGAAGTTCCTTTATCTTTCCCCTCCTATAATTTAAAAAATATTTTTTCTACATATATTGAGAACCTAAATACAATGTTGTAATGTTTGCCTTAACTATCAAACAGTTTTACAATTTCAAGAGAATAGTCTATTAAGTTTATTCACTCTTTCTGTTGTTCTTCATATATGATGATTATGATGATTCAATTTACCTCCTTTATCATTTATTTTCTACTACTTCCTTTAGTAGTTCTTTTTTTTTTAAACTGGATTGAACTCAGGGGCACTTGACCACTGGGCCACATCCCCAGCCCTATTTTGTATTTTATTTAGATACAGGGTCTCACTCAGTTGCTTAGTGCCTTGAAGTTGCTGAGGCTGGCTTTGAACTTGTGATCCTCCTGTCTCAGCCTCTCAAGCTGCAGGGATTATAGGTGTGTGCCATGGCACCCAGCCCTTTAACAGTTCTTATGTAGCACTTGTATTTTCAACAAGTTCTCTTAGTTTTCCTTCATTTGTGAATGTCTTTATTTCATCTTAATTCCTGAAGGATATTTTCATGGGATATAGAAATCTGGTTTGATGGTTGTTTTCTTTCACTGTCTAAAAACTGTGCCACTTCCTCTGAACTGCTAGGTTTTTGGATATGAAATCCACTGGCATTCAAATTGTTGCCATAAATAATGTGTCATTTCTTTCTAGTTGTGGTTGAGATTTTTTTCTTGGACTGTTTTTCTGATGTTTGTTTATGTTGCCTTGGAGTAGATTGCTTTGGGTTTTTCCTGTTTGGGGTTCTCATAGCTTATTGAATCTGGAAGTTTATGTCTTTTATCATCTTTGGGAAATTTTCAACCATATTTATTTAAGTATTTTTTCAATTCCAATCTCTTTCTAGAACTTTAACATAAATAGTAAATCCGTTACTGTGATACCATCAGCCCTTGGGACTCTGTTTATCTTTTTTCATTCTATCTTCTGATGTTCAGATTGGGTAATTTCTGTTGTTCTGTTTTCAGATTCAGTACTTCTTTACTCTGCCATCTGTTTTGCTATTGAGCCCATTTAGTAAGGCTTTCAAATTTTGGTTGTTGTAATTTATAATTCTAAAATTTCTATTTGTTTCTTTCAAAAACATATCTATTTGGTGAAAATATAATTTTCTTTTGTTTCAAGTGTGTTTGTAATTGCTAGTTTAAGCATTTTAATGATATTTGTTTAAAACTTTTTTGGATCATTTCAATACCAGTGTCATCTCAGTGTTAGTATCTACCAGTCACATTTTCTTTTCTTATTCAAGTTGAAATTTTCCTGGTTCTTAGTTGGACAAGTACTCTTTTCATTGTATCTTGGACATTGGGATATTACCATATGCATCTCTGAATCTTATTTAAATCTTCTACTTTAGCAAGATTCCACAGACGGCACACTTGTGGAGGAAGGGGTGTACCACCTAGTTACTGCCAGGTCAGGGCAGCAGTCCAAAAGTTGTGGCTTTCCATTAGGCCCACCAGGCCTCTGCTAACAGGAGGTAGTGTTTTTTCCTGTGGTGCTTGGTTTTTGTCTTTGTAAGCTAACCTTTTCCTGTCCTTTGGCTACAGATAACAAGCTTTTCTAGGGGCTTCTGCTGTGTGTGTGTGTGTGTGTGTGTGTGTGTGTGTGTGTGTGTGTGTTGGGCATTGATTCCAGGGGCGCTTTACCACTGAGCTACATCCCAAGCCCTTTTTTAAAATTTTAATTCTTGCTAAAGTTGGTCTTGAACTTGTGATTCTCTTGCCTTAACTTCCTGAGTTGCTGGGTATGCACCATGGCACCTGACATTTAGTAGCTTCTTTCTTGTCTGAACTGGAAAAAACTTGTCCATTTCTGGCTTGCTGGCTTTGTTAGCACCCACTCCAGGATATAAAGGAGGCAAAAAGAAAATCCAGGGAACTCATATTAAGTTGTTTCTCAATTACCAAGGTTCCTAATCAGTCTGCATTTATCTCTCAACACTCTAGTCTTCTTTGTCATATTTTGAGTTTTTAAAAAATATTTATTTTTTAGAAGTAGTTGGACACAATACCTTTATTTATGTATTTATGTATTTATTTATTTATTTTTATGTGATGCTGACGATCAAACCCTGGGCCTCACATGTGCTAGGCGAGCGCTCCACTGCTGAGCCACAACCCCAGCCCATATTTTGAGTTTTTAGTTGCACTTTGTGGGAGGAATAAGGAAAAGTGCTCTGCCCCACCTTGTCTTGAACCAGAAAGCAGCCCACCTGAACATTGGTTTTTATTAAACTAATTTATACCAAATAAACTTGACATGATAGCTCTTTATGTAAGTTATCTGTACTATGAGAATATTCAAGATCCATAGAAAGGCCTCATGGTGTTTATGGAATTAGTTTTTCCTTAAAGCTTAGTCTTTATTGCATGCTTTGAATAAACTTGAAAGTATTTATTTTCCAAACTTTGCACCATTAGAAGCTGATGAGCAGTTTAACCATATTAGAAAACGTCAAATTGGATACACATCCAGGATCAAAGGATCTAAAAAAATCAAGAATCTGGTGGCAGAAGTAGCACAAACATATCCAGAGTTAGCCCACACTCCACTGCTCACAGTGACACGAGCAGTATGTTTAAATGAAAGAAAGTCCAGGTGCCATAAAGGTTGAAGTTTGGGAATGTTGCCAAATGCAGCTTCAGTTTTACAGAACAGCTGAATGTTGTTGGTGTGATTTATTTTGCCCACATGGTGCTGGGGTTGTAGCTCAGTAGTAAAGCACACATACTCAAGGCCCTGGGTTCAGAACCTAGTTTTATTTTTTTAGTTGTAGTTGAACACAATCTCTTTATTTTATTTATTTTATGTGGTGCTAAGGATCGAACCCAGGGCCTCGCACATGCTAGGCAAGCACTTTACAGCTGAACTACAACCCCAGCTTCCAGACCTAGTTGTTGTTGTTGTTTTTTTTTAATTATGCTCAGGCTGGGGCTATGGCTCAGTGGTAGAGTGCTTGCCTAGCATGTGTGAGGCACTGGGTTTGAGCTGCAGCACCACATAAAATAAATAAGCAAAATAAAGGTATATTTTGTACATATGAACTGGTACACAAGTGAAGAATGGTTGGATACATGTTTGATACCTAAGCATAAATCTTCAATCCCAGCTTCTCCTCCTCTTCTACCTAACAGGTCCTGGAAAGTTCTATTCTTCTCAATAGGCAGCCCACAACAGAAGCTGCATAAAGCACAGCCAAACTGACAGAGGAGCTCTATCATCTTTGTCTTCACCCTCACCGAACACCTTTTAGGTCACATTTTCTCCTGGCCTGTCTTCACAAACCAGAAAAGATACTGATTTGGTATGGGTTTCCAGTATTGGAAAATCTAGCTTAGATAAGGAAAATCAAAGTTCACATCATCAGCGTTCAAAAGACTTTCTGTCTGTGGATTTCTGGGTTCTGAAGTTCAAATGTCCTTTGTTCCTTCTCTTCCAGGTCAGTCACCATGAACTGGGCCACTCAGCATGCTGTCCCAGCACAGGAGTAGCAGCACTGTGAAGGCAATCTATCACACTGTCAGAGACTGGGACTTTGCTTGGTACCAACTGCTGTGCAATTCTGCTGGGCAGGAATATCACAAGCTGTTAAATATCGATGGACACACTGGTTGAGATGAAGTTTCCAGGGAGGAAGTGACAGTGCAATGTGGATATTTATGGCCATAAAATAAGAAGAGCTTTAGTTCCCAGGCTGAACCTGCTTTTGCTGGAGCCATTTCAACAAAACATCACAACAAAGAAGAGATGTGATTTAGTTACATTGCACATCAGCAGATGTCTGGACAAAAACATCAATGTGAATAAGGGCCAAGTACAGTCCTGTCTGTCTTGATTAAATTACTTGATATTAAATAAAAGGTCTGGGTGGTATTGTTTTAAACCTGACTCATCCAGCTCTCCTTCAAATAGCCCCCTCCCCTGGGACCAATTATTAAAAAGTAATTTTGCTCCCTGGGGTGGGAGATCTCTAATGAATTTAAACCTAAGTTTTGCTTTTAAAATTGTTCTAGCTGATGTTATTGTGATTTTTTATGCAATTAAATGACTTTAGAGTCATGCTAAAGACAGGATTTATTGTGTTTTGTTACAAGCATATTTTAGGATATAGTTAAAGTACATGGTTCATGTAAAGGTAGTCTACATGCAAAGGAATACGAAGACTATGAAGGAAAACCTATGTTGGGTTCAAGAATTTGAGCAATTATTCAACAAGAACCTATGGGTTAAGCTGCAATGTCGACTTTATTCCTCTCAGTCTTACAACGTGATGTTGCCTGTACCTGGTCATGCCTTCTTTGGGTTCTGTACTCAAAGCCTGTCAGACTCTTGGAAGGCCCTCCTCTTACAGAAAAGTCACAGGCAAAGGCCAAGTTTGAAGTAATTCTTTTAACTCTAAGGCACATTTAAAAAATCTTAAAAATCTGTTGCCACAATTTTTATACTCTTTTAAAACTGAATTTCTTCAAGCATCTAAATCAGGGGCTGGGCAAGAACTTTCTTGGGAAAGGGCCACATAGTAATTAGCTTAGGCATTATGGGCTGTACAAACTCTGTCACAACTCCTCAGCTCTGCCTCAGCAGCATGAAAACTGCCACAGACGGTATGCAAATGAATGAGTGTAGTGGATGCCAATAAAACTTTATTTACAAAAACAGGCAGTGGGCTGGATTTGGTTCAGAAGCTGACTTTAGTTTGCCAACCCTAGTCTAAATGAATTCCACCCAAAAAAGAACTTTTCTATGAGGGAAAGAAACAGACTAGAAATAGGGTCATACTACATTCTTCTACTAGTGGATGACACTTTAAAAATACAAAATAAGAACAGCTCAGCCAGTTAATCTTTTTATTTTGAGTTTCGTAAAAAAAAAAAAAAAGCTTTGAGAAAATGTGTTAAATATCAGTAAAGGGCAGGAAAACACATGGCTAGCTTTACAACAGCAATCTACACATCTACACAAAGGCAAACATTAAGTAAAATGCTAGGGAAAAGATACCACTTTGGGGGGCCTACGGCAGTTTTCCTTATTGCACATAAAGGTAGATAACTTCAGGTCTTTAATTTTTCACAGTTATAACATACTTCAATGTCATTTATAATGTATATTTATACAACATAGTATAATTTTAATATTATAAAACCACCAGTTTGCTACTATTGAATGGAAATAGAAGAAACAAAATCTCCCCAAATACAATAAGTAAGCCCTCTATAAAAAGTTCCCCAGAAGGTCACATCATTCCATGTTAAATTCACCCTATTCTACTTCAAAAAGTTGCTGTTCAGTTATTAAATGGATCTTGGTGGCCTTCCCATTGAATCATTTTAATGGACACAACAAAACTTCCCAAGTAAGTAGTATCAGATGCATTTTATGAAAACATAAAGAGATAATCTAGAAGTAGCTGAAATCACACTTTGAAGGAGCAATTTCAGTAATAAAATTACAAAACCATAGACTTAACACCTATACAACTGAAAATCATTCCTCTACTTCTCCAAAGCCCACAATGAAATAATCATAACAAAAGTTAGTCCCCGAATGTACATGCAGTTAATCACCCAGTAACACCTGGATGGTAACTTCTTAAAAGTGCTTTAGACAGCAGATGACGCTTTGTGCTGTTTACAAGTCCTTTTCTGAGTTCCTCCAACATACAGAGGCTTAGACAATTTTTCCACTGGCCAAGAGTTGAGAGATTATGGTGACATTTGGCAATTCCATTAAGCCTTTTTTTAAAGGATGGCCATCAGAATGAGAAGGTGACCTTTGCTGCATGCACTCAGGTCTGCTTCAGACCTTTTCAGAAGGTAGCACAGCAGACAGACTTTCTTTCTCATCTTCCCCAAGGCTCAGGTGGCTGAAATCTGACAGCCTGTGCATTCCATCTGGGCCAGTTATAGTATACCCTGCTTAGGAAAATAAAACTAAGATGAACAACTTTGGTTTTTCTCTTCAATTTTTGCTACCCCTGGGTGACAAGACATGTTTGCAAAAAAATGGTTTGTGTCTAGGTCTTGTTTTAAAAGATTGTCAAAAGAATCTACTTGTCTTTCCTAGTTAGATGGTAGCATCGGTTTCTGCAGTATTTCTCTCCATACTGTTTTTGCTAGGCTTTAAAGTGGGGGAAGATCTTTTCAGATATCAAAGTGGTGGAAGCAGCATTCAGATGTGTTGTTTCTAAACTATGACTCTTGGCTACTAAATTCCTTCAACTTACTGTTACCAGCATGCAGCAGCTGATACTAGAAAGCTAGATTCTCACTTAGAAACCAACAGAAGTGATCAGAACTCAATGATACCAGGGTAATTTATCTGACTCTGGATAACTAATCTACAGAATCAATGTCAAAAGGCAGGCATCAAAGACATCGTCAAGTTCTCTACTTCTAGGGTGGAAAAAGAAGTCACATACTTATCTTGTTGGCAAGCTGACTTACCAGTAGCCCTCATTCCAGGCTGCATTTTACAATGGATGCTACTGTCAGCTTTCTGATACAACTCTTAGAACTTACAGTGGGTATAAGGCAGGTCTCCAAGTGGGTATTTTCACCTCTGATGAGTCGCTCAATGGCCCTGCTGATCTTCAATAAATACATTGGTGGTGTTTCTATATTCAGAAATCACTGGTTCACATGAAATATCTGATATGATTACATTAACTTCCACTGAAGACAAAGAGAGGGAGTGAAATGTTGGGGGTGGGACAATGTGAAACAGGCCTCTATTTTAGAAGGAACTATTCATTCTTTGTCCCAGACTGAAATGTTCATGGATAGCGGAGATATCATTTTGCATTTATTCTAAAGGGACTTCATTTGTCAAACCACATAGGATATTTTTGGGTCTAGAAAATAGCCTGAAGAGCCCCGTGCTGTTTGCTTGATGAGATATTTGATGTTTCAGTGTGACTTTTGACTTCGAGGCATCAACACTCATTTGTCTCATCACCCCAGTGAGTACCTTGGAGGCTCAGAATCCATATGCCCTTCCTGTGCTTGTTTCCTAAGAATTGTAGTCTTACTTGAATTCCAAAATTCCTTCTCTAGCAAAGGTTGGGTTTGCTGGTAGTTCCCACAAAGAATGGGAACTACCACTCTTATCAAAAAGAATGGCAGGAATTTTTATCTGCTGTCCATCATGTGACAGCAAAGTGACCACAACTTTCCCCTGTGTTCTGGCACTCAACAGGCCCACCCTTATTCTCAGGAATCCAACACAAATTCAGGCATGGGAACAAGAGAAAGACAAGAAAAGTTTGACCACAAAAGAGGCTATTAACTTAATTCCATATGAAATTTAAAAGCCAGACTCCCAGAAACCTTCATGTTGACTAATCAGAAGCTCAGTTAAGACAAAAATCCTCCTCCCCCTCTCCTCACAAATGGGAAGGAAGATGACAAGTTTTAAATTCTCCCTACACACACACTTGTTCTCCTTATCTCCTTAGAGGCTCTAAGGCTGTCAAATGTAATCTTTGCAGTTGAATTTTTTGGAGTATGTCCTTGAGTTCTGCAAAGATTAACTCAAAACTTTCTCATAGCTGCCTAGGCTGTGTTATTAACTTGGTTTGTTCCTCATGACTAACAGTCAAGGGTCCTATATGTTTTCTCATACACAGAAGCTAGAGAGAAAAGGGACTTCGTGAAAACAGAAGTGAAATCAGTAGAGAAGGGATCAGGAGAGGGAAAGGGGAGGTATAGGGGGAATGAAAGAATAATTTATGCTATGTGCATAAATGACTGTATCATAATATTACTATGATGTATAATTATAATGCACCAATAAATTTAAAAAAATAAACCCTTAACTTGCTAGGCCATTATTTTGACTAAAGTACCAAACAGTGTCCAAAGAAAGCTCTAGCCAAAAGGCTCTCAACCCTGGCTGCACATTAGGAACTCCTGGAGCTTCAAAACAAAGTGTGGATGCCAGCTCCTATTCCAAAGCTAGTGAATCCAAATCTTGGAAAGTAATGTCATTATGTCAAAAAAAAAAAAAAAAGCCATGTGATCCTAATATGCAGGCAGGGTGCAGAACCTCTGCTTTAGACCCTCTGACTTGGCTGAAACGTCACCCCCCTCTTAACTTGAACAAATATGTGTGAAGGATGAGTTGGGATTACTTTCTCAGAAGATTTTTGTTTAATTGGATACACCATTATTCAGCAATGTTAGTCTGTTTTTTTATGCCAGACCAACAGCAGCTGGTTGGCCTTGAGCTAGATGATTTCTGGGCTTTGTGTCATTCTTACTTTTCTCCATGCAGCCTAGTCATAATGCTTTTTGATATGGAACCATTTCAATAAATGGATTCCCCTTCCCGAACTCTTGGTAAGGTCAAAATTCTCCACACTTTGCACACAAAACTTAGGACCATAGGTCCAAGTGACTTACTTCAATCTGCTGAATAAAAGACTCAATCAAATAATTATAACTCTAGTTTTGGTCTCGGAAAATCTGTATTTACTTATATTTAATAAGGTTGGAACAAAAGGTTTTCAATGAAGACTAAAGGATGGCCTTTTGGGGGAAAACACAACAATTTATTGATTGACCTAAGACTAGGCTGGGAAGCAAAATGGTTATTTTTCTTCCCTAAGAAGATAATTTCTTACAATCTTCTGAATGCTTCCTAGAAACCCAAAAGAATAACAAAGCTTTGCAGTGAATGAAGACTGGGTGTATTCTACTTGGTTGGGTTTTTTTCAAGAATAATCACTAGGAGTTTTGTCTAAGCTTTTCCCCTCCAGCATAAAGGATGAGCAAAGGCTTTATACAGACCCAACCAAAGAGTAAACCAACTTAACCTACACACACACACACACACACACACAGAGAGAGAGAGAGAGAGAGAGAGAGAGAGAGAGAGAGGGAGGAAGGTGCACATCTGTAATCCCAGCTACTCAGAGGCTGAAGCAGGTGGATGACAAGCTGAGGGCTGGCCTGGGAAATTTAGTGAAACCCCATCTAAAAAAAAAAAAAAAGCCAACCCCCCCCCAGTCTCATCTTCTAAGTTTATATTGTGTACTGGTCATTACTGAGATAACTATAAAACAAACACTGCTTGATGGTTCTGGGTCTAATCACATGGACAAAATTCCAACCTTCTGCTAAGTGTGGCAGCTGTTGTCTACAACTTGAACCCACAACCTTCTAGGGGCTGAAACCTAAAAAAGCTTATTCTGTGGCTGTGGGGTGCAGGTCTTCTGAAGTCCTTTGCTAGCCTAGTGACCCTGAGGTCTCAGGGGGTTAGGTACATTGTTTAGCTTTTAGCAGACTTACAAAGTCCACAGATGACCATAAAATCATAATGTACTTTACTATGGAAAGGAGAGAGATGAATAAAATGCATTCAATTATCTTATATTAATCTATATGAAACTGCTATTTTGGATTTTGAAAAAATAGTTGAAAATCATCAATCTCATGTGGCTCAACCTCATCAAATAAATTTTTCCTTACTTAAACAAATTACCAGTTAAAACTCTGAAAGTTGTAAAGCTATGACCCATTTTAAAAATAACAATTACCATGGTGGCCCGTGCCTATAGTCCTAACTACTGGGAGGTTGGGAGAGGAGGATCACCTGGGCCCAGGAGTTCAAGGCCAGCCTGGGCAAGAGAGAAATTAACCATGAAAAGTGTGAGTTAGGGGGCTGGGGTTGTGGCTCAGTGGTAGCTTGCCTAGCATGCATGAGGCACTGGGTTTAATCCCCGACACCACATAAAATAAATAAATAAAAAAATAAACAACAACAAAAAAGATGTGAGTTAAGAAGGTTAAATGGCTGATTCATTATGGGTGTATGGTACTAAGACACTAATTTGTCTACCATAGGAAGAAAAATACTCACATTTTGAAGACATTTGTTTTAGAAATTGATTTGCCAACAATGCTAGCACTAAAGCACAGAGATGAGTGGAGAAAAAAACTGTCCCAAGAGTTCTCTCAGTATTTCACCTACCACAGGTGTGGGCAGGCAGAATATTTCACCCAGAAAGAACACAAATTGAAAACCGGTTTCAAACCACATCCACAAATTAAGCTGGTGCAATACTCTCTCCAGATATCCAGAAAATGATACTTGCTGTAAAGACACCTGATTCCTAATCCTATCTAAGATGAAACTTTCTATTGGGTTGAATAATGCTTACTCCGATTTCTCATGTGGCCACTGAATAGCATGCATACATCAGCTCAACGTTTGGAATTTTACTGAGTCTTAAGATGCCTATCTTGTATTTTCTTTGCAGGTTTTATTTTCACATTGAGATCCCTTTCCCTCTGAATACTAGCCTATTGCCTGTTTGGGTTCTTGCTGCTTTTTCTTTCCCTGATAAAAGCATCCTACAAATTTTGGCATTATCTCTAACTCTATGGTGTTATCTCTAACTCTATGGTCTTACTGATCATTTTTCCAGGTAGTGGGCTATCTGGTAGCCCTCAAAAGTTAAATGATTCTTGCAGTGATACCATCGTTTTCTAAACCCCTTCTGTCCTCAGATTAATTTAAAAACAATAGAATAACACAATTTGCCTTTGGTTTTAAACATCCCAGTAACTTCTTTATAAAGATTTCCAGAGAAGAAACTAGAATTCTTTTCCCCACACTGAAATGTTCATGGATATCATTTCTAATCTTTAGTCTAGAAGAAAACACAGGTTGCATAAAGTCAGGGATCCTGATAGGAGAATGCAGTCCTGTAGCCTTCAGTGCCAGGGCCTCCATTCAAATAGCTTTTTCTGTCCCGTTTAACACCAGCATCCCAGAATTCTTGGTGGGCCAATCTCAACTGCCTTCCTTCATGGTCTTTCTTCTAGCCTGTTCTCCCCTGACTTGATGTTCCTCAAGCCAGCTAGACTGGCACTGCTATGTGCTGAGATGAAGCTTCTCATGGGTAGAAAATCCAATACTTGCCCTGCCTTATTCAAAGAGCACGGGTGGATGAATTAAGAGACCATGAAAGCATGCTATTTTTGTGTTTGCTTAACTCTGAAACAGCGCACTACTATGTGAAAAAGTGGGAATAGATCTGCTTTCGTCTTGATTTAGAGACACTCTAGCTTCACCATCTGAGTCTTGGGTTAAATTTTAAGTGTTAAGATAGCTTCAAACCCCAACAAAATAGAAGCATTAGTTCAATCCAGTCAATGCCCCACCTCAAACAACACTGGGGCATGTAGCCATCCTCAACTCCAGGGGCCTACCCCAGCATTTCAGGATTTTGGGGGACAGTCACGCATTTTCCTGAAGAGGAAACACAAGAGGGGTACCCCGGCTTGAAACCTTCTGGTCTCCCATTCCCAGGTCTCGCTCCAGCACTTCCTCAGAGCTGCTCTTTGTTCTCCGACCACCCTCAAGACTCGTGGAGGCTGTGTGGGAGCCTGAGGAGCCATTGGCAGTCACTGTGCTGTCTCCATAGGTCAAGGTGAGGTCACCCTCGGTCAGGATGAAATCAGAATCTTCTTCTCTCAGTGGCTCTTGGTTCTGAAAGGCATAAATAACAACAATAACAATAAAAGTGGGACACTTATATCTTCCTGGGCAGGAGCCCTCCAATCCCAAGTCCTCATCAGCAACTTAGGGGTTATGAAAATTGCCTGCTTGTGCCTCTAGTGCAGTCATGGGATGGAAATTATGTAGTATTATTCAATGCAAAGCACTGTTGTTGGACTTTGAACCAAGACTTTGAGCACCAGCAAGCAGTTTTCATTTCAAATGCCTGGTAGGTCAGGATTAGTGGCAAAATAAAGAAGGGAGACCAGCTCAATTTCAGCTTTTCAGTCCATAAAGACAAGAAGTTATGGGTAAGGTAACTGGGCAATCACTGGAAATAGGTTCCTGGGACTCTTTCTCTAGGTAGGTCTTTCAGGTGGGCCTACAGCCCTACACAAAGCATCCTACACCCACTTTGTTTACATTTGAACTAGTCTTTGCCCTAGTTAGCAATTGAGTAGAGAGGACAAACCATGATTAGCATTTCCTCCATTTTCCCTGTGGTATTTCCACAGAAAAACCCTGATGGAAAGCCTGTCCTCAGGAGCATGAAGCAAATGATAAAGAGGAAGAGTACATTTTATTGAGCTTCTATAACACACTTGCCAGGAACTTCACATAAGCCCTCATTTGATCCTTACCCCTAGATGAAAACCTGAACTAGTGAATCAGTAAAATCTGCCTGAGGTTGTCCAGCTGACAGGAAACAGAGTTAGAATTGATACTGCCTCTAGATTCATTTTTTCCACATAAAGGATGTGAAAAAATCAGCTGTTCAGGAAAAGGACAAGAATAGTATCTCATGCTAAGCAGTAGTTGTAGCAAAACAAACAAGGCTAAACAAGGCAGGCATTAACAAAGTCATAGCCTCTTGAAAGTAACAAATGGTGGGGAGAGTGTCAGGAGACAGAGTAATGTCAGATAAAACCTTTCTCCCTCCAATGGGTTACACCAGCAAAACAAAGGGAGGGTCATGGCTCTGCTGTATTGAAGGTTGTCAAATAATGCAACTTGGATGGCAAACACATCTGAAGTCTCATGTATCCCTCCTCTGTCTGGGATACCACCCTGGTCCATTGCCTGCCCCAAGTGCAACCTGGACATGCCCCCATCTAGATGATAAACTACCAAAGGGCATTGACCTCTTTCCCTCTTCTTGGTGCCCTTCCTTAATGGAACTTATCTCATACGGGTTAAGTATCCGTGTATCTGAAATGCTCTGAACTCAGAAACTTTTTGGAGTGTTGACGTCATAGAAGTCTGATAGTTCTCAAATTTTGTTTCATCACAAAATTATTATAAATATTATCTAAAATTACTTTCAGGCCACACATACAAGGTATATATGAAACATAAATGAATCTTTTTTTTATTTCTTATTTTTTTTTTATTGGTCGTTCATAACATTACATAGTTCTTAATACATCATATTACACGGTTGATTCACGTGGATTATGAACTCCCGCTTTTACCCCGTAT